CCCGAGCCCGGTGAGGATCTGCGAGGTGGAATTTGTACATGCCTTCCTTACCTTACAGCGCAAGGTACCTACCTGCCTGGGAGTGTGAGGTCCCTTAGTACCGTACCTAGGTAGGCACGGAGGCAGGCGAGTGCGGTGCAGTACCATTGGTGGTGACTCTTGAATTTGGAGACGACCTACGGGCTGGCTTTCCCCAGGCAGGACACTAGGAAAAGAGAGGGGCGAGAGAGGCGCTAGTGCAATGTGGTTGGCTGGGGGGCTCACGTCTGAAGTGAATGGAAGTGCTGCGGTGACCACCTCACTGACCATTGACCATCGTACAGAGAGAGAGTACAGGCGGGCAGTCACTGCCCAGCCAAAATGGAACTGCGAACTGCTCCGGTGCAACCTTGCCTCGGCGGGGACGGCTGGGTTGCAGTACGCTTGCGGAGATAGCCCTCGCCGCGAGCCAGCCGAGACATCACTAACCACGACCATGTCCAAGTGTCAGGTCTACGTAGCGCTTCTCGAGTCGCACGCCGTCTCTGCTTAGCACTTCTTCGCCATCCATGCTCGTCCTTCGGGAACCACAAACTGCTCACATGTCACCAATCTAGGGGCCGTACCTGGACTGGACTGCGAGACAGACAGGCAGAGAGGCACCCGTAGCCGGCACCCGTAGCGACACCCTCAGCTCAGCTCCGCGTTTGACACGAGGATTATTCAATCACCATGGAACGACTTGGAAAGAGGCGGTCAGCCAAATATCTGGCCGAGCGCTCTATCACACGTCCTCCACCTTACCTTGGTAGCTGCCTACTGCCCATGGAAGCTGCCACAATATTCTTTCGCCTCTTGCCTAGGCACCTTGACTCACCCAGCCAAGGTGTAGCTTACTGTTTGGCTGATGCATGGCAACACTGCCTCGCAAATCGAACCCCCCCGATGTCGCCTCTCGTCGTCGCCCCGTTCAGGCAGGCAGGCAGACGACGACACAAACAGCTGCAACAAGGCCAACCCGTAACCTCGAATCCTTCTCCATCTTTGCCTCCTGTTCCCTTTCCCACCCCTCGCCCATCAGGATTCGCACCTACACGCCCCCCGGCTCGGCTGTCTTCTGCCCATTACCACCTACCCCGGCTGCTCTGAGCAAAGACGCCATACCCAGTTCCCATTGGCACATGACCGGGGGCTGCCCTGCAAACACAAGACTCGGAATGAGGCGAACTGGAGCCTCGCCGCAAATGTTCCTATGTTTACTCACTGCAGCAATGCAAAATCCAGGAAATGGCGTTCGTTCGCCGGATTCTGCGGCTTGGTTTGAAGAGCCTCCTTGGCTCCTTAATCTTCCATCGACTTTTCTCTTTCCTCCCACACAATGGCATCCAGCGTTCAGACGTGCCATGTCACCATGCTGGCTCGTCCGTGACATTCTGCCGGCCCCGTTGATACGGAGCTTTTATGCAACCCATCGCGGCCCCCGAAGAGGCAGCTTGCTGCATAATTGCATGAGCAAGTCGGTCAGTCGGTCACTCGCCTCAGCGATAACACAATACAGCTGCCCCCGACTCTCCGAATCCGCCCAGGGATGCCCAGTGCTGTGCCTCCTCAGCAGACGCGCTGTCTCGCGCAGTCTCACAATCCTCTCCAATGCAACTATGCAGACCATGTCGGGGCTGCCTACACTCGAAAGACCGAGATGAACATTGCACTTGATGCGCTGGATACCACGATGCGCTCTGTAGAACACCAACCTCATGCAGCTACCGCGGCCGCGACCACATCCGCATCCGATCTTAGCGAGCCCGGCGGGCTGGGCGGTCTCGATCGGAGCACGTCGTTGGAGGGGCGGGTCGTCGATACTCCAAGACTCGGGACAGTCTGTTCGCCTATCACCTGAGCAGCTTCATTACTCGACGCTGCATTGAGCATCCCCCCGTTGATGCGATACAGTCACGCAGCACGCAACTTGCTGCAGCAGCATCAGCAGCACGCAATCCTACCGTCTCCACGGGCTTATCGGAGCCAGTGGAGGGTAGAAGAAATGATGTGCAACTAACCAACCTGGAATGACGGAAAAGAACCGCCGGGCCCAGTGTCTTGACTCGCTCACGTGGTCCCTTCATCCGTCACAGATCGAGAAACCATCTCTGAACTCAATGGCAAGACAGCCAAACAGCTGCCAGCAAGCCAAGCTCCTTCAGCTTCTTCATCTCAGCCAGCCTGCTGCTGCTGCCGTGCTCTTCCCTGCAAACCAGCACAGCCTTCATCGCCCTCTAACCTGCCTCCTTACCCAAATTCGAGTAGCATGTAATGCGTCTCCCGGACCACCAGGCAGTAGAACGCCAGCCTCGCATTACACTTCCTCTGACAAGCGTCCGTGAGATTTACAAAACAGGGAGGCGCGTATACCGAACGGCCAGCCAACCAAGCCAGCAGGAAAAGCCGACGCGACAACTCATCAACAAGAGGCACGTTTGACGACGGCGGCGACCAGCCAACAAGAGAGCTCCGTCGGAGGCGGGGGAGCTCTCGGTGAGCAAGCAATTAGCGTTCGGCGGTTGGCTGGTTGGCTGAGATCGACAGATGGCGGGGATAAGCAGGACGACATCAAAGACTGCAGCACATCCCCCAGAGGTCCGAGAGCGCAGCCTGCCATGCTTCGACATCGGCCTGCAGAACTGATAATGACTCCCAGGCAGTAGAGGTGCCTCGACTGAGGTCTGTTGTTCAAACGCTCACGCTGCGCGCTATCCGATTAGCCTACGCACGCTGCTAGTCATGCGAACTCAACCCCCGCCTTTTTCCCTTTCCATCAGAGTTCATCCACGACGGCGTCCCGCCAAGAAAGTGTCTCCTGAAATCGCTGCATTTCGAGACACCTGTGGTCCAGCTTGAACATTAAAAGTGTAATCGACTTTGAATTCAACACGTCGAGATGCGCCGCCTCCGGAGTCTCCTCGACAGGCAAGCCGGGCAGGAGAAACCCCTCTCCGGACCCGAGGCTCACCTCATGAACCCCAATGCCGACCCCTCTCCCCCTCCCACCTCCCTCTCGCCGTCGCCGCCTACATGTAGGACCCGGATACTTTCCTCCACCCCTTTACCCCGCCGTCGCAAGCCAGCCTCATCCAATGTTCCTAGGCAGAGATACGTCAGGCAAGGCACGGACAAAGTAAACCTTCCGCTTTGAAATCATCCCATGAATCAAATAGAAAGGCAAGGCAACAGGCAAGCTTACTGCCACAGTACCTCCTTTTCTGTGGCGGGACACACAATCGAATCTTGGCCCGTTGCGGAAAGTAAGCTTCTCGCCCCTCTCTCTCACTATCTCATTCTCTCTCATACACACCCCCCTCCCATCCTCCCGTCTCAACAAAGGGAAGTGGTGGACAAATAAAAGTCGTTCCAGGCTTTCCCGAACCTACGTCATGTCATTGTCTCGTCCCTCACTCCGCCCCTCCTCGCAAGCCCCCCACGGTCAAACCAAAGGAAGACTCTGATTCTGAACGAGACTTTTGGTTAAAAAAAACCAAAAAAAAAAACCCCCCCAACCCGTCGAAAACGACGGTCTTGTTTCACAAATTTTCAAGACTCGGGCGAAGAAGAGGGGTCGAATGGGAAGGGAAAGGGTAACGGAGCCGCCGCCGCGAAGAGCCGCAAACGTAACAGCGCGAACGCGTGGTTCCTCGTGCCTGGACTGGCATGCTGACACACCCCAGCATCAAGCTTCTAGCAAAGGTTGTACGTAGGCTATTCCGAAGAATATACTGCGTAGTACACACACAACTACCGCAAGGTAAGTGTGGCGTGACTTACACCCTCCACCTGTAATAGTATTACGCACCCGTCCATCTACCTGAGAACGGGGCCATCCATGGATAATACAAGAATTCGATAAGGCGGTTTTTTACCCGACAACCCGGAAACCCGGATAGTTCCCCTTTTTTTTTTTCTTCTCTGGTGTATGCGTACGTCATGCAGTTCCGTGACGAGGTTTTTATGTGTTTTTAAATGGTCCGTGGGCGCAAAGTGAAGCTGCCGAAGGATCGAGATGTGATGGTGTTTGGGTGATTCCTCCCTTGCGACGGCGATCAAACTCCATCAGCTCTCGCCCATATCGAGAAGGCAGGCACGTCAACCACGCAGAGGAGAGTGAGTCCCGGTTTTCTACTGATATGGCCGTGTGTAGGTTTCTTGGTAGCTGAAATGTCTGCCTTGCTTTCCGCTCAGCACAATCCTCTCTCTTGGCCATGTGTGAGAATTGACCGGCGAGTGAGTGAGGAAGGAAAGGGTTGGGAGATTTATCGTACTTCCACCATTGGACGTGGCACTCAGGGTATCATATTTGGATACATGTATGAGAAGAAACTGACCCAAATGTACTGTGGCAATCCACCCCTAATTGTTGTAGATGGTATTGTGGGTAGACGCTTGAGTGGCTGGGCTACCGGTGTTGGAAAAGCCAATCCCACGAGCAGTCTCGCTCTGGCACTTCATTGCAGACCAAGAGCATTCACTGGAACCTTGAGAACACCAGACGCCTGAAGATGGGTTCACGAATCTGGAACAAAAGTTACTGGAGGTTTCGTTGCCTCGTTAAGCCTGCAGACGTTCTCACGAGCGATACTTCTCATAGCACATTTCATAATCCACATCGGGCTTTGGAATATCTCTTGTGCTAGACGGTTGCTACCTTACTTGATAGGCCAGTTGTTCCACCACTCAGAGATGGGAATGCTCCCCCGATATTAAGAATAAACAGGTCCTTCGTATTCGAGGCCCAGGTATCATGATGTAAGAAAACCCCTGAACGAAAGCCGAAAACAGCCGCCCGATAACTCCATGCTTCTGTCTTTCTCTGCGTTCTTGCCTCCCTCTTCCTTGTATGTGCGTCATGCCTTCGCGGTTTGACCTTCTCATGGCTCATAATATTGATGTACAGAATGGATCGACGTGAATTAGGCCAGTCCTGGCCCAATCCATCTCTCCTCTCGTAAGTTGATATGCTGAATGATGGCTCACTGGCCATTTCTGTTCCTCTTGAACAAATGCTCGTAAGGCTCGCCGGCAGCCTCAAGCGCTGCGGCTTTCAAAGAAAGATCGCGCGATTTCCGCATCCACTCCGTGGCCCTCAGCCAGTCTTCATTCCTCCGCACGTAGCTGGGAAGCTCCTCTACCGGTACGTCGCCGAAATCCATAGGTCTTCGGTGTGACCATGGCTGCGGCGGGTTGGGGGGTGGCTTCGGCGGGTCCTTACCCCGTCGCGCTGCCAGCGCCCTCGCGATTGCCTGCCCAGCTTCAGACCGCTCCTCCGCAAGCCTCTGCTGTTTCATTCGGTAGGCTGCCTTGCCAAAGTTGGCTTTGCGTCCGCCGCGAGCTTTGATCTCTTCCATCTTCTGTTCAAACCACTCGTCAGAGCGGTCATGAGACCAATGGATACGTGGATCGAATCTCATATAGAACGGTCTATGTGCTTCCTCTCCGGCTGAAGCGGAATTGGGGCGGGTGGGAGCGGGTGTTATGAAGACTTCCGGGGGAGGCGTACCCGCCTCAGGCTGTGTATAGATCCAGGTGTCGAATTTGTGTTGGTCAACGGTACGGCAAAGCTCAACCCGCCGCTGCTCGCAGGTCAACTTCCTGGAGTTTGGAGGTCTTGTGCGCCATCGCTCAGTGGAAACTGAGAAGGCTTGTTGATTCTGGATGGCAAGATTGGGGCGTCGCGCCATGAGCCCTGTGCTGTGATTCTGCCTGGCATTGGTTGGCAGACCGTTGATTCCGGCATCTTCGCTCTCCTCACTTGGTTCTCGGATTGTCTCCCCACGTCTGTTAATGACGAAAGGGTTATCGGAAGCAAACGTAGAAGGCCCACTGGGGTCTGGGACGAAGTTGTGAACATTCGGAACAACACCATGCGCAGCTGCGCCCGTCGAACGCCTCGTTCCATCTCGAGACCGCGGCGAAGGGCCTGTCTCTCTCTTAGTGGCAAGAGCAGCGGTCGTATCTTCGTCGATGTCTTCTGAGTCCGAGTCTGATGTCGAAGTTGAAGCCGTATCCGAGATGCTTGATCTCTTGCGCTTAGCTGCTGAGGTTGTAGGTTGCAGGAATGGGGGCGCGGTTTTGATACTCGTCGGAGGAGGCTGCAGCCCTGATCTCACGATTGGCAGGGAGCGGTAGTCTATTCTGCCCGGGGATGCAGTAGATGGCGTGAGAGACTTTGTCAACTCTTTAGACCTGCTTCTTTGACGGCTGGCTTCTGGGCGGGGCTTGTTGACGCCATGGTTGGTCGTTGATTGCGGAGAGGTTTGTGATGTTTGACGTAAGTTTTGTGAGGCTGCACGAGCGGGCGGGACAACCTTATCAGCCGCGGAGCTAGTTTTCGGAGCTTTGCGTTGATCCTGACCATTTGCCGTAGTTGACTTGGCAGACTGCCCTCCGTTCTGTACTACCTTGCCCGGCGGGAATTTGTCGGGGCTCCTCGAGGTTGGTGGCATAAATCTAGACCTGGTATGTTCTTGAAAGCGAGCCGCAGACCCTACAGTGGGTGACACGGATGATGGGTGGCTTCTCTGCACAGAAGCCCTAGAAATTGACTTCTTAGCTGTAATGGCGTGCTTGTGGAGAAGATCAGGAGGGAAGTTAGTATTCCTGACTGTTTGCTTGGGGTCCAAGACACTGCTAGTCCCACCATGGGAGCCAGAAAGCCCGTTGCGAGACTGTCCGCCGTTGAGATGTTCCGTCACGCGTGGATTCCTAGAGATCCCCTGGGTCTCGTTAACCAGGTAAGGCGTCTGGTTCGAGTTGAATGATGAGCTGGAGTTTCCGGGGCCGAGCACATTGCGTGTGATAAGAGTGTTGTGCTTTAAGCAGTGCTTGCTACCGTTGGTCAACACAGTAGAACCGCACCCCGCAGTGGCGCATCGGTCAATTGGGCGGGTCGCGTCCATCTCATCACATGAGCTCTCTTTCGGAACGGTGCTCTGAGTACTAAGAAGCCGGGCTCGCAAATTTTGAAGCGTACTCCTGGTAGTCATCAGAGTCGTCGAAATGCAATGTACGAGTCAAGAACCGCAGTTGGGCGCGTTATCGGGATAAGTAGGCGATGCCTGCCTGACTTGAGGTAGCCCGCAACTTCGGATTATGCTGCTGGCTTGCCCAGGCTCTATCGGTGACACGAGGGCTTTTGCTGAGCTTGATGCCTGCCTTTCGGTTCAATGGGACAGAAGTCAAGGGCAGCCTGGAGTTCTTGTCTCATGGTCCGACGGCTGAAGACGAAGCGGGTAGACACGTATACCGTAGGCTCTAGTGAAGGTTAGCCATCGGGAATGAGTTAACCAAGCGAAGTTCGAGAAAGAGTAGATTGACGGAAGGAACAAGAATGTTGAAAACAGAAGAATGATGTGTGTCGCGCTCAGGTCTTTTCAGTTTCTTATTTTGGTCTTCATTTTGGGGAAACAGCGGTTTTGCAGCCCTAGCTTGAACCTCTCATGTCTGCCTCGGCCTTTGGTCCAACTTCGTAGAGGCACCCAGAAGCTGAACTCCAAATGAGGCTGCAATGATGTCGCTACTCGATCCCGACGTGTGAAGCTTGGTTCATGAGGTAGCGACCAACGATGCGCGGCTCAACGCCAGGCGAAGGCTTTGCGGGGACGAGGACGTGGTTCAATCCTGAGAGTGAAGCCATAGACCAGGAACAAGATGAGACAACAACCCCAGAAGTATCCTTTTCTATCGGACCTTTTACCAATAGTCATCATTGCGCGTGAAGGGAATGGAACGGAGAAAATTTGACGGAAAGAGTGAATGAAGAGCCTTGCTTACCTGGTGAAACCTGCCCGCCCGTTCTCTCGGTTTCGCGCCCACGCACCCTCCGCTTCGCGACAGCCGCCGAGTGATACTTTCGCATGGATCCAAAGTAAACAGCGTTAGGACGTGTATAACATGGAACTGCAGACTATTCTCATAATGAGCTGAGAAGTGCGCCGAAAGCAGCGGGTTGCCTCGTGGGAGAAACGCCAGACGCGGGCTCGTGGTCGCGGAAACGTGGTTGAGGCTCTCGCCTCGCGTTGCGTTCAGTGGAGGTTGTGTCGAGTGTTGGTTGCTTCAATTGAGGTAGAGGTCAGGTAAGGTAGGTAGACCGTAGGACCTCGGGGTGATCCTTGCCTAGCTTCCACTCTTTAGCGACGGGCAAAACGGGGACCTTGGGTGGCACATTCCGCGGGGCCCATAGAAGGTCGGCCGCGGATCATCTCCCATCCGTACCAAGTACCACCCCTCTATTCAATGCGGGTTAGCGCGGGGCCCTGGACACTGCTGGCTGAGGTGCTGTCCCCTGGCGTCAGTGGTCCACTGTCTTGTCGCCAAATTGCCCGAAGCTCCCTGCCTGCGCTGGATGCGCGCGTTGCAACGTCTCACATTTACACGATTTCAAGACCAGTCTCATAGATTGAAGCTTCGCCGGACCGAAACGAAGGTATCCGAGACTGAACGATCAATATGAATTTCCTCAAATCGGCAGTCGCCTCTGCCATAGCTCAAGGGCCACCGTTCCCCTACAGCTTTGGCGACAGAGTTGACATCGACGAGTCCATCTGGACTCTGAACAATGGCACCAAGCGAGTACGTCAAGCTTCCCGAGGAAATCCCCAGAACGCTCACGATTGACGCCATCTGCAGGAAGACGGATCTAACTGCAGCATTTTCTCCTTCGATGTTGCCGCGAACAAGTCTCGACTTCCCCTTGCAAAGAATGCTTTGCGAAAGCTGAGAACGCTGCGCCACCCAGGCGTGATCAAGGTGTTGGATACGGTGGAGGTATGCGTGCCCTGCGTTAAAGTATGGTGCTTTCTGACACGAAGAACATAGACCGATTCGTATATTTACATTGCGACCGAGCGCGTGGTGCCTCTACGATGGCATGTGAAGAGAAAGAGTTTGACACCCGAGACCATAAAATGGGGGTTGAGTAGCATTGCGGTATGTTAAGCAAGGGGACTGGTGCTCTGCAGCAACCTGACCTCCTTTCAGCGCACAGTTAAGTTCATCAACGACGAAGCATCATCAATACACGGCAATGTCAGGGTCGGATCCGTTTACACGTCTGAGAGCGGAGAGTGGAAAATGAGCGGCTTCGAGGTTCTCAGCAACGTTAAGGAAGATGATGCTGTAATTTACGTGCGCAAGCTCTTTTCCCTATTTCATGCCGACGGCCGCGCTGACTGTTCACACAGACATACGGAAGCTTGGTTCCAGATTCTGCAAGATATGCTCCACCGGAGCTTGCCCGCGGCGGCTGGGATGCCATCAAGAAGAACCCTCACTCAGCCGTTGACTCTTTCGCTTTTGGTTGCTTAATTTTCGAAGTGTTCAACGGCGATTTTATGGGGTCCGATCAGGCCGGCCAGACGAAGAGCATCCCCCCAACAATGCAACAAAGCTATAAACGCTTGGTGAACCCGAACCCGAAAGCGCGTGTCAGTGTAGGCCACTTTTTGGAGCAAGGCCAGCGTAGCGGGGCTTTCTTCGATAGCCCTCTGATCAAACTGACAGAGGGCATCGAAAATCTCGGCGTCAAGTCCGAAACCGAAAGAGAAGAGTTTCTTGAGTGAGTTGAGCCGACGTATACAGAAACGACTTGACTAACCGCCACAGTGATCTCGACCAACTGTCTGATGATTTCCCGGAAGACTTCTTTAAGATGAAGGTCCTTCCAGAACTAATAAAGTCGGTGGAATTTGGCGGCGGTGGTCCCAAGGCGTTCAGTGTCGTCATGAAAATCGCCGCCAAACTGTCTAATGAGGACTTCGACGCCAAGATCACACCCGTGGTTGTTCGTCTCTTCTCCAACCCAGATAGAGCCATCCGCGTTTGCCTCCTTGACAGTTTACCTCTCATGATCGATCGTCTCTCGCAGAAGGTTGTCAATGACAAGATCTTCCCGCAGCTCGTGACCGGTTTCACCGATGTTGCGCCAATCGTCCGAGAACAGACTTTGAAATCTGTTCTTGTCATCATCAACAAACTTTCAGACCGGACAATCAACGGCGACCTGCTCAAGTACCTTGCCAAGACGGCGAACGACGAACAGCCTGGCATCCGTACAAACACAACCATTTGTCTTGGAAAGATCGCTAAGAACCTGGGCAATTCGTCCAGAGGCAAGGTTCTGATTGCCGCTTTCACGAGGTCTCTCAGGGACCCGTTCGTGCATGCCCGGAACGCCGCTCTCATGGCTCTCGGCGTTACTGGAGAATACTTTACAGATGAGGACGTCGCCCTTAGGATCATGCCCGTTCTGTGCCCGTTGTTGATCGACAAGGAGAAGCTCATTCGCGACCAAACGAGCAAAACGATGGATGTGTACATCCAGAAAATCAAGAAAGCAGCCGCAGCCATGCCGGACAGTGCACTGCCTCCCCAAGGTGCCGACGGCGCTGCTGCTCCCCGGATGGGCACACCCCAGCCAAGCGGCGACTCAGCTGCCTCTTCCTGGACCGGCTGGGCCATCTCCTCGTTCACCAACAAGTTGTCTTCTGCGGCAGGAGAGATGCAGACTTCTGCTGGGACTGCATCTCCTAAACCGTCTCCGTCGCCTGGTCCAGAAGCCAAGAGGCCAACCATGTCTTCGGCATCTGCCCTGCATAGACAGGCAGTAAAGTCACCCCCTCCCATCTCGCGAACTCCATCAACTATTGTCGCCGACTCTTTCAACCCCGACCCTGTAGACGATGGTGATGCTTGGGGAGACATGGGTGATGACACTTGGGGTGAGCCGGCGACTGAAAGTGCCAAGCCAGCAGCAAAGACGACCGCCAGCGCGACGCCATTTGACGATGGCTCCGAGCCTGACTTTGCTGGATGGCTCGCTGCTCAGTCGCAAAAGAAGGGTGGCTCAAGCAAGCCCTTGCCGAAGGGACTTTCCAAGTCATCCGCTTCTGCCGCGAAGAAACCGCTAGCTGCTAAACCAGCGGCTAAGCCCGTAGTAGCCAAGAAGATAGATCTGAAGCCCAAGGAAGAGGACGACGACGATGGTTGGGGCGACGGATGGTAGACGATTGTAGCGCGCACATTTTGAAGCATGTACGGCGTTGGGAGCCAGGTCTCAGTAGACCCATGTTTTTGGGATACCATAATTCTGCTTGTAATGTTCATAAAGCAACTACCCTAGTCTGCAAATGAGAATCGTAATGCAGATGGCCGCAGCCTATCTGTGATGCGATACAAACGAGTTTCCAGACGCCCCGCCAACCCAGGCCCCGAGTCCAATATCAGAATGAGAGAACAAAAGACGTAAGCAAGAAGTCCTTTTGGAGACCAAACGAAACCGACCAAAGTTTGGAGAAGAAAAGGCCACCCGCGGTAGAAAACCACCAAGTCGTTATCTAGCTGACTCTGAGTAATCGTTGAGGGCGACGCAGACGGCGCCTCTGTGGTGGCCGTTGTACTGGCGGATGATCTGCTGGCTGTGCAGCTCCCAGAGCCGAGCGTAGTGGTCGGAGCAGGCCGTGACAAGGTAAGCCGAGTCGGCGCTGAAGGCGCAGTCCCAGACCCACCGCTGGTGGCCCGTAAGGGTGGCCTCGAGGGGGAAGGGCTTGGGCTCCTCGTTATGGGCAGGCTCGAGATCCTTCACCTCCCAGATGCGCGCAGTGTGGTCGGCGCTGCAGGTCGCGAGCTTCTTCACGTCGGGCGACAGGAGGATACGAGTAATATACTCCTTGTGCGCGTTGAAGTGCGTCACGGGCAGGAGCTGCGTGCGGTCGTAGGTCTGGAGGAGCTGCCAGACAAAGACGTTTCCCTAGTTTACTGTCAGCTTCCTGGGACTAGTCGTCATAATTAGGGAGAGTGCTGCATACGCCATTATTGGCCGCGCAGAGCAGAGAGCCATCGCTGGCGACGGTGACGCTCGAGACGGAGACGTCCTCCTCCGGGATGAGCTGGTGGGAGCAGT